ATGCTGGCAGCCAGAAATACTCTTTGGCTCTGAACTCCCAGTATTTTTCTTGTATTTCTCTTCTGGTATTTGTCACTTCCTACTTTTTACCATAGATATTTACATATGCCTTAAATCATCTTGTTTTCTTGGAAGTAAATCTCATGCCAGATTTTCTCTACATTGTGCTTTGCACATAGATAGCAAGTTCTCAACGCATATCTGTTGCCTTCCTACTCCAAAATTATCCAAGGGAACTAATTTACATATGAACTTGCAAAGAATTGAATTTGAAGGAAAGATGATATCTACATTTATTTTACATCGTCTCCATTTTAGTTCATTACTGATTGCTCTTACGTTTTATTAAGTATAATCAGAATACACAGCATGCAGCATTTTAGTCTCATTTTGGTAGTTTTTAAGAAATCTCTCTAAAGGAACACCTTAAGTGGAATACTACACGAGAGTCTTCAAAAAATTCACAGAAAGTGCATATTATGAAAAAACTATGCATGGATTTTATTTTTTGTGCCAAAATAAACCTGTACTTTAATTCCATTTTCTATGAATTTTTCAAAGTGCCTCTATATAATTAGAATTGTCCCCCCCCCAGATTTATATATTAATCTTGCTACTGCAACTTTCTTTTGACTTTAGAAACAGTTTTAAATGGAGCCATTTACTCAGTTAAATTTAACTGACTATAAATGTACTCCTGTACCCACATGAGATGTGAAGCCTTGAGAGGCAGTCATGGTTTAGTTACCTTTTAATGCTCAGGGTGAGGACAGAGGCTGGAGCGTGACCATTCAATGTGTTCAGATTTTGTTGGAACAGCCTGCAGGTGCCTTCACCTCCTCCTTCGCAGAAGCTCAATGACAATGTACCTTTATTAATAGCTATTTCTAAACTTTAGCCTAGTCTATGTTTGAAACACAAAGTTTGTAAGAAAAGTAGATTTCTTTTTACTATTGGTAAAGACATAGAAAAGGCTAGGAAAAAATTTTAAAAATTGTTAAAACAAAAGGACAATGTTTAACAGTCCTTGTATTCCTCACAAGGCCATTCACAGAGTGCTCAGTAAGCATTTGATGATAGAGATAGAAAATAATAGTTCTGCTTTTAAAAAAGATCAAGGGGTCAGTCATTGGCAAGGTGGTTAAGGGACCTGGATCCCAGATGGCTGACTGCATGGTTTGAATATCAGACCCAGCAGCTTGAAAAACATGTGGGGCATGTGTGTGTGCATGCCCAAAACCTCAAGAGGAGAATAGAAGAGAAGGGATTACAGTGTGGCCATTCTTCCTGGGGAGTTCTTTTTCACCTTCTGTCTCTCTCAGGCAAGCACATAAGCCCTATAGCAAATTTAAAAAAAAATCAGAACTCTTTTGAAAAAATATTGGCATCAGAATCCTACAGCAGACTTTCATATGTGTATTGTGATCAGAATCATAGCAGGGGCAAACCAAAGATGCAATAAATGATGCTAAACCCTTATCTATAACTTCCAGGATTTCTCCTTTCACTCTTTTTTTTTTTTTCTTTTTAGAGAGATTTTTGGTATAGGGCACTACGTGTGCTCACTGGAGAGACAGAGACAGAAAGTAAGAAATCACCCCCCAGGGGAAATGGCCACACCACAGTCCCTACTCCTCTATTATCCTCTTGGACTTTTGGGCATGCTTGCACACATGCCTGGTGTGAGTTTTAAGCCATTGGGTCTGGGACTTGAACTGTAGTCAACTAAGTGGGAATCCAGAGACATAACCATTACATTATCTGCTGGTCCCCTCCCTTCACTCATTATGTTAAAGCCTATTCCAAAATTGAAAAGGAGACTAGAGAAATGCCATGCCATCTGGTAGTGTTGGTGTTATCTGTGAAACTAAACTTGAGTAAGTGTCTTTGAGTCTTCATCACTTTTGTTCTCTGATGCTTCTATATTAACACAGGGCAGATTATCTGTTGCTACTGGAGTCTCACTCATTAAAATTGCCTCATTAGTACATTTTATATCCTAAAACCAAAATGCTCTTTGAATAATGTCATCACACTTTAATTTTTATAAGGCACACTCCATGAGATACTTTCAATCCATGAGATACTTTCAATATACTTTATTTGGTACCTATTATGTGTCAGGGATTATACTGGCACTGGGTAAATAAATTCATCAATACAGCTAAGGCATTTGACATCTATTACCAAGAACAGATACCAAGAACAGACCTTGCCTCAGCTTACTATCTGGCCAGGAAGGCAGACATTTGACAAGCAAATACAATTGGCAGTTTTCAGAAGGAAGTTCACGTGAGATCCCAAGGAGACGTAAATCATCAGGGATCAAGGTGATGAAGAAACTGAATACCTGATGAGTGTTATAGCAGCACATGACCAATGTATTATCAAAATACAGAAATGGGAGTAGTTAATTCCCTCTGGAGACTTGAGGAGATCAGAAAGGAGCTGAAATCTTCAGGGATGAATAGGTTTACTTAAGGTTTAACAGGAGTGCTGGTAATGGTGGTGGTGATGATGCTCAGAAAAGAATTTATTCTTAGTAAAAAATATGGACAATCTAATACATATTTTTAAAAAATTATAATTATTATCAAATGTGCACAACATAATATTAATGTTCAGTGCTGGAGGAGATGACTATGTATATATCCTACATTTATTATACATTATATGCACACTTTAAAAAATCATGCTATACCCCACACTCACACACACACATATATATATATATATATATATGTCCATTGAATACATGAAAACCAGAAATTAAAATTTTTAATTTTTTTTTAATTTAATTTCAGGCATTTGTTTTCGAAAGTGCATGCATGGCAAGACTAGAACTCTAAGTACCAACTGTGAAGGGGTGAATGACTGTCAGACCATTCTCAGCGATTCTTTAACTTTCCGGCAAGGCACCAGCAAGGCTAGCTGAACCAGTGTGAATGGGAGGTGATATTTCAGATCATACCTCAGTTATCTCCCCGCTCAGGGTGCAGATAAAAATATGTGTGCCCAGTTACATTTGGATTTCAGATAAATGATGAGTGATTTTTTAGTGAAGTCCCTCGTAGTTGGGTCATATTGAAATGAAAAATTATTTGTTCATCTGAAATTCAAAGTTTATATTTCTATTTGTTTTGACTTGTGTATTTTTATTTGTTACATCTGTCTACCATACCAAGGGGTAAAAAGCAGCACGGCTCTGCCGTGGCACAGACGATCACAAAGCGCCACAATGACCAGGGCTTTCTGTAGCCTTGTCGCCCCCAAATTCCTCCAATCAGAAGCAAGCAGGGAGAAAAACAGGAGTCCAGAAATGAGACGCCGTAACTTGGCAACCAGGGAGCAAACCCACCCGACCTTCCGCAACATCCAGGAGACGTGCGCAAGCGCTGGCTGACGTAACATTTCGCGCCGAAGGGTGGGGACGACTGAGCGTCGCACTTGCACGTGACCCAAGCGCCTCTTTATGAATGGCTAACTCGGGGGCGCGGTGTTCGAGCGCGGGAGTGTCTGATTGGTGCTTTGGGGCAGCGGGGCGGGACTCCGGCTGCAGCCGCGGGATGGCCCGGCCGAGGG